ATTTACCAGCATTATGCATCGATCGGGCTTCCCTCGGCCACGTTTCACCTGCTTCTTCAATAACAGAAGATGCGATTTTTCGGACGATCTGCCATTGTACTCCTCTCCTCTACCCTCAAAGATATTGTCTTTAACTTAACTTGTCGTTGTCATAATTCAAGCACGAGTACAACTGTTGTACACGTTCTCTGAGATCCTCCGATCACCTATTCTTTCACCGAGATCCTCGCGCCAATCTCAGAAAGGACATTCACGTGTGTGTCTCTCTAAAGAAGTAAGAAATAAATTCGGTCAAAAATTACAATTTTGTTCATACACTACTCTAATTTAAGAATTTTTCCAGTTTTCGAAGGAAAATTGTTTTCTGAAAAGGAACAAGCATTTTCCGACAGATTTTCATTATTTCAGAAAATTTTCTATCCCCTTTCTCTAGTTAATCGTCGCGAGGAAAACGGGGCGAGTTTCCGGACACCGATTACGTTGTAATATCGTGAAATTTCGAGGTAGCTGAAGCATTGCAACTAATTTCATATTTCCCCCATGCCCTGTGCTCGTCTCAAATTTCCTCTAGTGCGGGATAAATGATCTCGACTGGTATCGTAATTAGATAAATTAACAGCGTGAGTTGAGGCAGCGTGTTCGTGAACGAGAACACACGGACGGCCGCGTGAACAGGAACAAGAGTGGTTTGAGGTCTAGTTATCCGGAACTAGGATCGCTGCATAGTGCATCGACTAATTGTAAATAGCGCGAGCCGCGGAATAAATGCTCGTTAGCGTGCTAGCCAAAGGAATTTAATCAAATTCCGACTCACCTGTTCGCCGGACAATGTTTCTTCATTTCCATTTCCGCTGTCTGTTATCACGTTTCTTTCTTCTTAAAATTCATTCTACAAAAAAAGAAAGACAATTTTTAGAAGCATTGAAAATAATACTTGAAAATATTTTTCATTTTCAATGAATAAATTAATGAATAAAAATGTAGGCATAATAAATTTTGCATTAATCCTTAATTGGTGATTTACAAACTATCAGGTACATTGTATATTTTTCTAATTACGATATAAATATAAAAAATGTAGGATTTGATGATTAAAATATGGAATGAAACGGAAATTAGACAGGAAAAAAAAGGGCAGTAAGGAACTAGATAAATTTTAATATTGCAATTATAAAATTACAAGCAAGTAAACTTGCAATTTTACCTGGTACCCTCGAATTTATGGAAGAACGATTCCGAGGAAACACATTTCCAACAAATTTGCTAGCATTAACGAGCGGCAATCTCACAGTTTACACTCTTTGAACGTCGCGAGGGCAACATCAGAAGGTTATCACCCTTACGTGCCCCGTTTCTCCAGTCCGGCATATAAATATCACGGTTTCCTTCCGGGAAAAACGAACGAAAAAGTCATTGGAACTTTGAGAAAAAATCTTGATCGTCGTAGAAGAGTGTGCGCCTGATCGCCACGCCTGGAATCCTGTTGAAGGAGGCTTAAAAACTCGCTCCGAGTGTCGCGATCTGGCCAGATGAAGATATTTGCGCTTCTGTCTGTGACACGGTCGCCCTTACACGCCAGAACCAGTCAGCACAATGCGCTGAATTTAGAAGTACAATGATCCTATCGTTAAGTTAAGAAGCAAGCAAGTACTCGGATCTGCAATTCGTTGGAGAGCGTTGGACGATGAAGGGGTGCCCCCTTCGCACGCTCCTGTCCTAAACGCTCTTCAACCCCGAGATTTACGAGTTTAAGCGTTTTTTCGAATCCTTCGGTAACACTCCGTAAGACTCGGTAATTGCAATTTCAGGGAACCACAGGGTTTTAAAGTCTGACGTTGCTTCACGAGATTCACAAGATTGGGGAACGATTTCCGCGCCAAGTCCTCGCGAGCAAACGGACACTCGTTCCCACATTTTTTGCTAACTTTTCAACCACTTTTTTTCAAAAATATATCTTTCATGAGAGAAGCTCCTTTCGCGCAATTAGTATTCAAAGAAATATACATTAAACAGGCATTGTTGTTAAATTTATTGCCATTTTAATATGTAACACTAAAATTTTTGTATTTTCTTCCTTTGTATAATTTATTTCTAACGGGAAGAAGCTTTCTGTTGTATAATTAGCGTAAAAATAATTAAGATAATTTGGAATTCAACGTTGCTGCAGTATTTAATGTGCTTTTATTATAAAATTAGCACAATCAGGGGGTAAAGTTTGTAAATTCTATTTTATCTTTGAAAGAGGATGTTTCTTTTATATAATTATTATATAAATAAATTAGGAAATTGAAATTCAGATTACCTTGTAACGTGGAGTAGGCCTAAATGATCATTTTGTTTTGAAACGAAGCTGCAGAAATATTTTTGTATAGTTTTCCTTTGTGCGATTGCTGCATAGAATCTGGAATACAGAAAATTGTATTATTTCGAATTGATCATTGCGCGCATTTGATGCAGTCTTATATCCCATAGAAGGACAGTACTGAAAGCGTGCAATAATTTCTTAATATAAAGAGCAAACGAGCGAGGAGCGAAAATGAAGGGGTTGCTCTTATACTTTTCCTTGGCTGAGAAGATGAACGTAGAAGCTCCGAGATATTTCAACGAAACAAAGCTTGGAATACAAAACCTCTCTCCCTCTTTCTTCTTCCCGTACGACGAAAAGATTTTTTTTCGCCGATAAAAAGACTATCTCAGCTTCGGTATTATGCTTCTTTGGTGTTATCGTTGGCGAATGTTAGACCGGCGTGAATGTCCTCGTATCGTTGGCACGTTTCATCTGAAAATGCAAATGATAAATGTAGCTGACGGGTTCCCTTTCGCGTAGATCGTGTCAAACAAATTTTTGAGCGAAATTTTCGTTGAACTCTTCAGTTTCGTTTCACTTTATTCATTTCGTACCTTTTTCTCCCTTAATCTTCCTTCGTTGTAGACAATGAAATCAGGCCTAGAATGTAAACTCTTCTTGTGAAGTTCGATTTTATTTAATTCTTTTGACGATTGTAGCATTAGATTGAAAAGTATGTCGTTAATATTTTTGTGATCCATAGTAGGAAACCCATAGACATCTGTCTAATTATTAAATATGAATATTTACAAAGTGTTTCAAACAATTGTAGTAATACCTTGATTCCAAAGCTATAATTTTGTATCTTACCAACTTCTGGCTTAAAAATTTCAAATTTTATTACTGAATATACATGTGATAAAACATTCTAATATTGATAGAACCCTTCTTTATTAATTTTCACTCGAGTCTCCAGTATTTGTTATAGATAAACATGGTGTCATACCGAAAATGTTTGTATTTACTGAATTAACCACTGAAATGCAACAAGAAATAAAAAGTTCCAGCCACTTTCTACCACTAATTATCCTAAACTTGCTAAATTTCCTAAAAAACATTAATCAGAATTCATCTTCAATAAATGGTAAACAAACATACAAGAAGAAGGATCACTGAAACGAAGAAACATACGAAAAAAGAAGATGTAAGGGGATACGAATAGACGAATAGATAGAGGAAAGTGATAAGGAACGAAGGAAAAGCTTCGTTTCCGAAAAATGGCTCAATTTCGAGCAGGGGGCACAGGATTCCGTCGAAAAATGTTCCCTCCAACGATATCGGGAGACCCACCGCCGAAGATCACCAGTCTCCACACCCTTTTCGTCTTCGTACCAGTCGAACCATCCCCCGCCACGCTGCCCGCCACCACCATCGACGCCACCAACACCACCACCACCATCCCTTCTCAAGTGGAATTGGCGGTGTTGAACGTCACGAAAGGCATCCGAGGAGAGTAGACCTTAAGCTGGACGGCCTTAAGGGCGTGTTTCCCCTGTCGGCCGCAGACGGGTTGAGTGATAAATCGATTTACCTTCTGGCCAATGAGGGTTGAAAGTGGCGCTTTCTGATTGGCCCGTAGCTAGACCACTCCCACTTCGTTAATAAAGGTTTCGGGCGAAAGCCCGTTTCACTGTGCCAAAATTTCTCTCTCGAAGGATCTTTGCTCGAACCTTTTTGATGCAGCAGATTTTACGAAATTTAGGAACGATAGCATTTTTATTATCGATATACTCATTTTGCATTCATGAATTTTTGGAAAGGTATTGAATCTTAGAATGAATTAAAAAGGGATTTCAAATTCAGGTGTTAGAGAATGTTCTGAAAAATTGAAATATCTTTAAAGAAATTATACTAAATTCAGTTCAGTTTCAATGTGACCATTATGGCAGTGAATGCATTAAACAATTTAGGCAATCCACATCCTCTTATAAATAAAATATCTTCGAAAACTGGTGTAATAGTTCTAACAGTTCCCCTAATACTTGATCTGTAAATCATTTTACAAAACAACCCATATTTTCCAAGTTCAATTAACCAGCAGAGAACAATGTCCATACGATCCAGCTGATCATCGAGAATGTCCAACAGCGCTCTCGGCCAGCGAAGGCAACTATAAAAGACGAATACCCGTCGTCTCGATGAATCCGAGCTGGCAGTCGTAGAAGCTAGCCGTTTTGCCCGTGGTGAACCGGTCTGTCGTAGGCGTATCCGTGCGAGGCGTTGACATCGGTAGACCCCACCTTCTGTCTGGTAACTAGGGCTATGTCTACCCTGCTGGCCGTCTCAAAAAACCGACCAATCCGCGATGCGAGACGGCCACTGTCGGCGCGTAAAGTAGCGGAGGCGCCTTTGTTACGAGGGGTCGTTGGGAAGAGAGTGTAGAAAAGAAGAGATCGAGAGAGTGGGGTTGTACGCGCGTCACGTTGAAAGGGAGGCAGGCAGGCAACCGTGGACGAAGAGAGAAGGGGTCCTTTCCCCAGCCAGGAGGGGGCAAACGGCGTCGGAGGGGGTGTGGGGTCGGGTAAACGCCACCCTCCGCAGCTCCCTACGTCTATGTGTACCCGCGTAACGTGTGTGTGTGTGGGTGCGTGTACGGCGCCCCCGGGGGGTTTCCCTTCTTCGTTGGCTGTCGCACAGTCGAGCAACCCTGTGCTCCGAGCCAGCTCAGTTGCCCATCGCCGCGACGACGACACGGTTGCGCCACGACGACAGGCCAGACACGTCACCGTAACCGTAACCGGGACTACCCCCGAGAGCACAGCCACGTTGCTTCTCTCTCTTTCTCTTTCTTTTATCAATTTCCTCCGTACGTTTCGGCTGATTTACCAAGTACCGTGTCACACGCGACATAGTATCAATCTCGCCACGCGGATCCAGCCGCTCCGTTTCTTCGAAGTAAGCCGCCCCCGCGCTGTCAGTTGCCTCCGGTGAATCCGCAGTTCTCTGTGTGCGCCTAGTTCCGTATGACCGATCGACCAAGACCGAAGGATTCGAGGAAGGTTCGTAGATCGTTGAAAGACGGCATGGGGAGAGAAGCGGACGGTGGACATTGTTTGTGATCATTGAAGAAACGAGAAAAAGAAGGGCTGATCATCGGCGACTGGTCGATCCTGCCAGTGGACGAGTGCCTTCCTGTTGGCAGAGGAAATAGTAGTAGGAGACGAGCAGAATACTGTTTTTTTGTCTTGTGAAATTCGATCCAAACGGTGAGAAGAATGAATGGAAGCGGTTCCACGAATTTCCATGCGCATCGTTGAGGTCCGAGGAGAGTTTTGTTCCGTGGCCAGGCACGATGAATGGAGTCCATCAGCGCCGATATCGGGACGAGTGAATAGAATTCTTGGACGCAGATAAGGTTCTAATTGTCTTCGGGACGAGATTTAGGGTGAGAAAGAGAGAGAGAGGAAAGGGAGTAATAATCGAGTAACTTCGTACCGGTTGCTTCGAGCAACGAGGAAAGCGGTAATCCGTACCTGAACACAACGAAACTTCCATTCAACGAACAGACTGGACGCATGTGTGCCGTTAGACGCGTTGTTTCTACACGGTAATTGTGTTTAAGTGCGAAAGAAAACGCGAGACAATCGGTCCGCACGGGTTCTCGAGTTGCCGTCGCTCGCCGAAACCTGTCGCAGCTTCTGTCTTCGCTCGACAGATCAAGGATTTTTACGTTTACAACGAAGATTAGCCGAGAACGCAGGCCAGTAAGCTTTCCAACAATTTTCTATGCACGAAAAACATTCCATTTCGAGAGATCCTCGATGATGGAGATCTATGAGAACACTTAGAATCGCCGGCGGGTCCATATCAGGATCTAATCTCGATTTTCTATCTCAACTCGTTCCGTATATTTTTCGAAACTAAACGGACGATTAGTCGATCCCTTCTTAGCGGGCCTACAATTCATTTTCAACGTTCGTCGATCGGAGCGTCGGCGAGGGTATCGAAAAAGCGACGCCTCCGCTCGCGACAAACCGTCGGATGCCGAACGAGCGTTATGTCAGGGCCTAGCCGCGGCAAAGGACTCGTTTTACTTCCCTCTTTGATCGATCTACGTGAGAAAATATCCTCCGATCTCTAATACCCAGGACATCGAGTTTGTGTTCGAAACAGAATCCAACGAACCCCGTCAGTTTCTTTATTCGAGACTGCTGAATCGCGGAGTCGTTTGTAAACAAAAGTTCCTAAAAATCCAGACGCAAATCAACGAGCAAATATTTCAATATCTTAGCGAGGATATTCTACAGGAAATTCGCTAGAAGAACAACGATATATCCTTGAATCCTGTTCCGTCAACGAGCCTGGCTATGATGCTCCATTGACAGGGACGCGGTAGACTCTAGGAAATATTCATTAAAAGAGGGATTTACGAGTGGAAGATGTCGTTTTGAGTGGTTAGGATTATCGATACTGAGTCAAAGATGCCGCAGCGATCGCCGTTCGCGATCCAAGAGCTGCTGGGGCTGAACGGTACCGGAAACGGAAGCGGTACCGATCGAGGCTCGCCCCAAGGATCACCGCCAGCCGGCGTCTCGGCGGTTTCTTACGCACCCACCGCGCCTCATCACAAACTATGGGACTACATGCCCAGCCTGACGAATCATCTCGGCAATCTTGGCAATCTTGGCAATCTGGGCAACCTGACCGCCTCGCGGATGGCTTACCTGAATGCGCAGGCGGCCGTAGCGGCTGCCTTCCTGCCGCCGCCCCACCCCCACCCGGCCCACCATGTACCGCATCATCAGGTACATCAACCGGGACAACTTCCGGCCTCGCCGGCCGGCGTCAACGTGCATCCGGCTGCTCACGCGCAGCATGTACTTCCGGGAACCGCAGTCACCGCGAATCATCATCAGCACAGTCCGACTCAGCACACGCCACCCCATGGTGAGTTCATGATTTTCTATTTTCTTTTCTTTTCTTTTTTTTTTTTCTTAATTTCTATCGTACGTGTAATTCTTTGGTGGTTTCTTGGAATGGAACAATTATTCCATCGTCGACTTTTTCTTAATTAAAAGCTCGACCAAACGCTTTCGTTAATTTTTTCTACATTTTTTTTTCAATGCTTGTTTCTTCAAGAAGCTTTTCCAAAGCAAACTGCTTATTTCCAACGAAACCAGCCGGTTCTCTAAGCCGTCGTAACTTGTCATTACCGTTGAAACTTCGCCCCCTCCCGTTAATTTATAGATGACGATTAAAGATGACATTGTTTCCGTCATATAGTTCCGTTCGCGAGACGCGGCCCATTGTGCTTCGACAATTATAGCCGTGCCATTTATTCCATGAACGGAGCCTCTAACTGTTCCTTTCATTCGCCGGCCTATGAAGAATTGATAATTAATTTTATACAAACCGTGCAGGTATTGTGCCCGAGTAACAAGCAAACCACCACGATTCAATCTTAACGCGTTCTCGTTAAGACCTACATACATCTTGGCGCGTGGAAAACGTTCGAGAGGAACCAAGGCGTCTGGCCACTGCCGGTCGTTAGACGCAACTTTTGCGATAATAAAAAAAGGAAAACATTAAAAATAAAAAGAAAAATCGCGTCAAGTTTTTTGAACCGATCGTAGCCGACTATACAGGAACCAGCTTCCTTTTGCGCGCTGCTTCTTGTAAGAGTTTAAGCGGGGTGAGAAACCAATTAAAAAAAAGCGCGCGGTCTCCGGCCATTGATTCCACGCGTTATTAACCCCTTACCTCGGAATGGTTCAATTTCAATTTAGATTTCAAAGATTTTCAAAGAAAATTCCCGTCGAATTAAATATTAAGCAGCGGTAACGTTATATATTAACCCTCGGACGACGGACCATGGAGAGAGGCCAAAGTTTAATTGAATTTTCTTCATATTATTTTCATTTTCTAAATTTCACGCGATTCTTTCAAAAATTATTATTTCAATACATGAAACTCTTCTTTAATTTTGAGTTAATAATTCTGTTTGAGTTATAATCGACTCAGACTCCGCTGTTTAAGGGTTAATTACAGAAAGTAACAACTGGAAAGCTTATTAAAAAGTAAATTGCAATTATAATAACATTGATCGATCGACGATCTTTGGATCGACCACCCTGCTCGTCAGCGACGAGTTCAAGTAAATTAATAGGCGTGTATCTTTGTCCCGGCGTGAAACGAGCACTTAACGCACGCCACTCACGGCGATCGCTTAACAGAGAGCCACTCAAGATCGTGTTACCGAAAATTGACTCGCACCTTGTATCCGCGTGCAAACTTCTATGGTACGAACTGTATATCAGGGAGCGTGATTTTGGGGGAAAATTTGGAGGAAAGCTAGTCAGCTGGAGGTAGCTTCACGCCTGGTGAAATCACTTTTGCCAGCATTTGTGTACAAACAATTATACGAAATTGCTTGACCAGCTGTGACAGGAGGAATCAAGGAATCGAATGTCAATCGTCGTGATGCTCGAGAAAATTTTCTATTGTTTCTCTTTCTCGGGTATTAACGTCAAGATACGTTAGATGAGAGAAGGAGCGAGGGAAAGAAAGAGGGGTGAGCTGGGGTGAGCGCACTGTGGGAATTGAATATTTTTGTCAGAATAATCCCCAACGTTATGAATAATTAGTGGTATAATGAGTTGAGTGTTGGGCAGACCTGCAATGTCTCACCAAAACACAAAGAGCCTCGACAAAACGTAAAAATGGCCGTGCTCCGGCGAACTGTTCTCAACCTGCACCGATCAACCCCTTCGAATTTGCGTGAGAATTTCATCGAATCCAATCAAATCATCGATTATTAATTCAGAATAACATCTCAAATATTTATAATTGGCTACAAAATCAACCAGAATCTCTAATCTTTTCTAATTTAAAAAAATTTTTTTAATTTTATTTATCTTCCCACGAAATAAAAATGTCGAGGCGTATAATAACAGCGAGATATCGATGAAACGATGGAAAAGAAATGTGAACCAAGTTTCCTTGATACGGTATTGTCGTAATAAGATAGTATCGCGATCCGGAGCGTGGATTTTTGTCCTGTATAACGAATTTTGAGAACGATTTTCGGGTGTCGGGTTCCCGGTGTAGCACAAAGGATCTGCCCTTCCATTCAAACGTCACTCTAGCACCTCGTCTTACAGTACAGCATTTATTTGCCGCGCTTCATTCGTTCCTTTTTGTCTTAAATCTTAACCAGACTTAAAGACGAGAGCACAGAGCCGAGCCAACTGCTCTCGATTTGTCCTCGATAATAATTAATATGTCGATCGATTTCGGGTTTTGCCGGGTTTGAAAAAACACGCGCAGGACATGTCGCGTGGAACGGGGCCCTTGAACGATGTCTGGCTGTTTCGTCGATTAAAAGTCCTTTGTTCTTCGCTCATAATGGACCCTCATCCACGAAAATTTCCGAGTAACGAGGCTGCAAGTTGTTTGCACACTTGGTCCCGGTCGAAAACTTTCAACACGATCGAAAACATTCGGAGAAGTTAAAGAAAAATCGCTTGTCATAATTCGATGTTAAAATTCTACGACATAAAATCTCAAGGATTCTTATCGGTTAAGTTTCAATCGCGAAACTGTTGTACGATAAAGATTGCGGTGTAATCGAATGAAAATTCTTGCCGAGGATTTCGAGATAAATGAAAAGAGCAGGCGATAAACAGCGACAATGAATAGAAGGCGGTGGTGTAAATGGGGAATCATCGATTCGCTTGGCACCGCGTTAATCGTTAGGATGAAGAGAGGGCCAGAATGCAGGAACTCTGCGGATCGCATTGTCTAAAAATTCCGAGATTCGCGCCGGTTCGTTTCGGGCTTTTGCCTTTCCAACGGCTTGTATAGGAGAGTCTCTCTCTCTCTCTCTTTCTCTCTCTCTCGAACTCTCACTCCGCTTTTTCGGTTCGTTTGAAGTTGGCAATCAACTAGATTGCCTATCAACGCCTGAGAAGTCTCCTTGCACCACTCCCGTCGGTCCAGTCCTTTTCTTGCTCTTGCTCGCACCCTTTCCTTCTCTATTACACCCTCACACACGGCCACGCGACAACGTTGTTCTTCGTTTATTCCCTCCTTTCCTCTCGCTCGTCTACCCTTCGCCGCCACCCCTTTCACCTCTTTCTCCTACTTTCTTCATACCCTTCGCTAGTTGCCTTCCACCCGCCCCACCCATCGCTCGCATCGTCCTGGTAACACATCTCCGACAACGATTCTCAGCAAAACGTGGCGCAATCGGTCCACCATTGTTTCCGTGTACCCCTTTCATCCTGAGGGATGAACGCGCGGGCGCGAGAGATCCTCGGGATCGCGCGACAAACGGTTGACCATTATTCTATAAAGAGAGCAATATTGGCAAAATTACCCTTGAATATTCTTCGTTCATTTTTTTTTTTTTTTTTTGTTCTTTTAGCTTAATCAGAAGTTTCCTTGGGAATAATAAATAATTAGGTGTATAGAGCATTGATCGACGATTGGAATTGAAGAAACCCGTTCACGGTTTCTCGCGTGTAGACCAGGCCGAGTCGGTTTCCGCGATCGTAGTGGGCTAATTTGAATTGCGACGGCTCTTACGCACACGCGATCACGCGGAATCGGTCGGGTGAAGGCGCGGAAATAGGCGGTGCAACGGAGAGGGCTAGGGGTTGTAGAGGTGTTCGTGTCGCGAGTCTCTTGTACGTGGCGACCACTTTTCCCGGAAACAAAGCCGGGCGAATTCATAATCCGCTAATTTGTTCAAGATTTTTTGCTCGAGTGGCGGCGCTTGCTTTGTCGCGGATCCCAGCGTGTCGAAGCCGGGCGCGCGTGGGGCTCGCGTTCAAGCCGCTTTGAAGTACTAATCAGTATCGACCTGCGCCTACAAGCCGCACCCCTTATCCGTGCTTACACCCTCGCCTACCGCCCACATCCACCCTCTCCTTCGCGCAACACCCCGACCGCCACGGAATTTCTCCCTTTTCTTTTTTTCCTTTCTTTTTCCTTTTTCTCTTTTCCTCGACTTTCCATCAGAGGCGTGACGCGGATCAACGCGCGGATACGTCAGCCGGAAATCTATCCCGTTGCCATTTCGATTTCTCATCGGCGATTCACCCTTTTTCCTCTTTCCACGATCGGCAACTTAAGGTATGTTTCGGAATTGCTGCTGAGACTAAGACGGAATTAATATTTGAAGGAAATAAAAGGTGTACGGTTGAGAGTATCGAATATGGATGTTGGACAAATTAATCGATTCATCTTGAAAGAGAAAAGCATCGCGGCTTGGCTAGCTGACTCGGCAGCTTATGCAATTGCGAATGCAAATTAAACGAAATTAAACAGTTAATTAAAGCACCCGGCGCCCCCGGGAGAAGTTAATTGAGATTCTTGGGAGATTTGTCGCGCGGAATGTCTTAATTTAGTCCCTTAAGCGCCCTAACTCGCCTTAACAACTTAGAATAATTGGATAACACTGCCAGGGCGTGCTCACCGTCAGAAGTAGGAAAATTCAGTCTCTCGGCACGAAGAGACGCTTCTTTTTTTTCACCTTCCTTTTTTCTTCCCCTTCATCTCTTTTTCTTTTTTAAAAACGAGTCACGATTCACCTGCATGCCGGCTTACAGCAATATTCTCTCTGTGTTTACCCGCACTCCTATTCGTGTTAACTTTAATCCCGTTGCCACAAAAGGACGATTAAAAATACCTTTTTAGAATATTAATATACGAGTAATTTTTTGATCAATTTTTTACGTGGTAAGAAAAATGGGTCGATGAACAAAGCAAAGGGAATCGTGGACAAACACGACTGTTCATGTGAGAAAGAGGAAATTCCTATTTTCCCATTGATCGATCGACCACGAATTTTCCCAGCTCAGTCAGAAATGATTTTCTCTCATTACGCTCTGGTCGCGGTGTCAATCATACGACCCACCCTCGCCTAATCGCGTAATCCGCTCGAA